GCAGTGTAATGCAAAACTTAGAAAAGGAGTAAGAAATAGTAAAGCAAAAAAACTAGAGGTCATGAAATAAGAAAAAGAAATACACTTTAGTGTTGTGGCTCCGGACTTGGATTCAGCTCCTGTGGCTGATATGAGCTCAAGTGAGGAGGACATGGCAGAGAAATATGAGCCAGCATGGCTCAGTGATTGGAATGATAATCAGGAAGAGGAGATGGACGTGACAAGAGAGGACAGACCTGATTTAGTAGAATGGTCAGGACCTTCGACCTCCTCTGGTTCAGTATCTGATCATCAGCCGGGAATGGCTGACAGAGAAGTTTTAAGAGTCTTCAAGTGGAGACGAGAACTTGGAGAATTGTTGGTTAGATGTTAGGAATAGATGCCGCTTTAAGAGGCAAGGCCAGCTGGAACGCAGGAGAAGGTCAAGTAAGTAATTAAGGAAATTAACTGTTGCCCTAATTACTATAAAAGGATCCGCCTGAGTTTGAAAATTTGTCAGGAACAAAGCGTTTAATTTACGTGGAGAAGCAACGGTCAAAGCTCGGAGGCTTGTGGATTTAAGCCAGGATTAATGTGCTGTAGACTGTGAATAATAGCAGCTGTTATCTTCTGAAACTCCTCTTCGTTTGTTTTGCTTTTGAGGACGACTGCTTTCGGCGTTGCTTATTTGATTTTGAAGGTGGGACATAACACTTTAGTATACTTCATTTCATTCACAATCCCTTGTCACACAGTGTCACTGTCTCCTTTAACCCAAATTGGTATTTTCCTGAAACCGTATGAATGATCTACAGGTGGGGGAACAATATCGCTTCTTTAAGGAGGAGCAGTCAGGTATCACAGAAGTAACTTTTTGGCTTCAGATTGAAAAAGCTTCAATGTCTCTGTCCTCTTTGATCTTTAAATTTCTGAGCGCTCCTGGAGGATCTCTGCAACTCCATCCAGTCACAATGTTGTTTGTCTTCCCTTTCCTCTTAATTCTTTTCCTTCCATATGTTTGTTTTGTAGTTTGAATCCTTTTCATTCATTCTCTCTTTGGTTTTCATGCAGCACTCTTTCATCCTAGACCAAGGGTCTCCAAACTTGGCAACTTTAAGACTTATGGACTCCAACTCCCAGAATTCTCCAGCCAGTATGGGGAATTGAAGTCCACAAGTCTTAAGTTGCCAAGTTTGGAGACCCCTGTCCTAGACCCAAATCATCTTGTTTTACAACACGTATTTCCTAACTCATTCTTCCTGCATTGTTTCATTTTTTTCTCTGTTGTTTCCAACTCCCACCTCCAGATGAGAAAGTGGGAAGAATTACTCTGCCATTTTTTCCTTTTTTGGGATAATCTTTCATTCCTTACAACAGACCACATATTGCCCTTTAGTACACTGTTTTTTAAACTTGAAAATTTTAAGATGTGCGGGCACAGTATCTGGGGAATTCTGGGGGTTGAACTCCACACATCTTAAAGTTGCCAACTTTGAAAAAAACTGTACTACCTCTTAAAATTTCTCATCCATTTCCACATTTATAGTGTACATAAGAAGGAAAGGTGGCCTAAGCAATTTGTTTTGTAAAAGCAGGCATTCCAATGGGGGGTGGGGGCACTGAATATATTGCTGTGATTTTAGCATTTGCTTTCAAGAGAAAGAGTAAGACTTAGAAATGGCTGAACACTTAAATAATGCATTTGTTTTGGGCTATTTTCACTCCCAATTAATCACACACAACAAAAGAAGATAAAACCTACCCCAAGTATATGAACAGCTCTGCTACCTGGCTAAAGTCACTAAGATCCTTTGAATATGGGTTGACAAATTTTAACAATGTTGGAAGCTACACTACCATATAGGAAACAATAAATGTTAAACTTTCAAGCCCATAAGGAAGCAATTAGGCAATAACTAGTCACAGGATGAAAAAGAATTCACTTATATGTAGGTACACCGCTTTGATGAACAGAGAAGCCCTAATAAACCAGGTATAAAGCTCTGTGGGATAAGAAAATTCCAAACAGTTTCATCAGCCAACCAAAGTCTGCCCTATAAAAAAACAAAAACCATTCTAGCCCTTTGATTTCTGCAGCTTCTTTTAATTTGCTAATGCTCAGATATGCTATGCAGATTTACCTGCATCTCTCACAAAGCAGGAAGAACAGGCTACTACCGAGTTCTACTTTAGGCATAATATTATGAAAAAGAAAAATTTCTTCCTTTCCTTCCCCCAATTCTAATGATGTCCTTGCTAAATGGGGTTTAGAAGACATCTACAAGTACAGTAGAATCAGTCAAGATGCTTCTTTGCATTAGCCTATTAGCAGTCCAGCTTGTCTGCAGAAAAGGGTGACTTAAATTAAGAGAGATTAGCATATTTCTGGGTTAATTGATTATTGAGAGAGAAGGGGCAGTCTTGGTTCTTGGTGTGTTTTTCTGTCTACAAATTGTGCTTTAATATGTCCTTGGATTTTCACTAGGGCTAAAGTTGCAATTAGTGAACATACCATTTATAATTTAGTCTTGCTTCAAATATATATATACATATATTTCTCCATTATTTCCCTAACTTTAGTAAACATTCTCCTAAGGCTGACAAATTCATCCACTTTACTTTTTCCTCATTTGTATATAACTTGCAGTCATTTACTCCAGTTTGCCCTTACATTAATTTTCAGATCCATATCCTTTAGCACAGGGATCGCCAACCTTTTGGACCTCAGGGACCACCAAACTCATACTTTTAAATCCCGAGGACTACTAATACGCATTTTTAAAAAAAGATAATATATTTAATATCTATATATCTATATATCTATATATCTATATATCTATATCTCTATATCTCTATCTATCTATCTATCTATCTATCTATCTATCTATCTATCTATCGATCTATCTCTATTTAATTATAACAAAATCGTAAATGCTTAATCATAACTGTGGGGCAGAGCGAAGGGAAAGGAAGGCCTCTCTTATCCTTTGAGGGGAAAGAGGGAGGATTTAATACTGCTGGGATTCAAAAGAAGCCACATGGTACCTGGAGGCTGGGAAGATCTGGACGGGGAGGAACCGGCTCGCCCTCAAATGGAAGAAAAGCAGAGCCCCCCTCAAATCTGGTCTCCTGTCATTTCATATCTCCCCCAAGTCAGAGGAAACCTCTCCCTCCTTTGCCAGGTGTGGCTGCCTGGAGTTGGGGGAGGGAAGGAGGGGCAGGCTGGAAGCACCAAGGAAGACGGGCTCATAATAACCAGACAACACCTCCCCCTTTGGCCTCCACACAAGAAGAGGACTCCCTGAGGCTAAGCTCCAGATTTCTCCCACTGCTTCCAAGCAGAGAAGGGTCCCTCCATGTGTGGAGGCTGAAGGGGGGGTTGTCGAGCCCAGAAAAGCTCGAGCTCTTGCCTGCACAAACAGGCTGGTTATTAGAAGCCTGTCTTCCTTGGAGCTCTTTTGGTCTGGGCATTTGGTCTCCCTGCCACCCCATGCCAAAGGAAAGGCAGCTGGGCTTCTTCCCTCCTACCCTTCCCCCTGCTCCCTTCCCCCCACTCAATCCTACTTCGGGACAGAGGAAAGCGCACTGGAAACATGTGTTGTCATTTCCAACAAGCATTTCTCCAGCGCTCACCCACAATTCTTCGCATTCCTCCAGGCCTGGCTTGCTGAGGGGGGAGAGCAGCCCTGATGTCTCTGCTGCCCCCCCCCCCAACGGCCCCAGCCATCACTGCCCAGGGAAGGCACAGGAAAAGGAAGCGAGCAGAAATATAGCTCTTGCTGGGGCGAAAGAGCAGAGATCAGGGAAGGCACAGGCAATAGAAAGTGGCACTTTTCAAAGGCGGCAACTTCCGTCTTCTCTTGCCTATGCCTTCCTCAATCTCAGCTCTTTCACCCCAGCGAGAGCTATGTTTCTGTTCACTTTTCCTGTGCCTTCCCTGGGCAGCGATGGCTGGGGGCGGGGGGGCAGCAGAGCAGAGCGCCAAGAGGGACAAGAAAACTGACGACACCCCATTCCGGACCTCTGAACTGGATGGTGAGTGCAGACTTGCCCACTCCACCCCCTCACACCACCACCAGCCGGTACTTTTCCTGCCCCGGGCCATCCCTACAGCCCGCAGCCATCAAGGAAAAGCCCAGGCCAGAAGAGGCGAGCTGGAAGGTGCAGGAGTACCGCGCAAATGCAAGTAGCGCGGCGCTCCTGCACCTTCCAGCCATCTCCATTGCCGCTTCAGCCCGCCTGTGCCACCAGCCCCCTCTTGCTGCAACAGCACCACTACCTCGTCCTGGCCGGCGAGGGCTGTACAGTTTTTTGCAGGTTTGCATTTGGCCAGTGGGTGGGTGGGCCATGTGGACAGCGCAGCCTTGTGTTTCCACCCAGCCACGGCCCACTGGTTGGCGACTACTGCTTTATCATGCAGTCTAGCTGCAAATCATTTGACTTCACATCCAACAGCACAGCATCATCTGCATACAAAAGGACATGTATTCCTGTACCGAACCCATGCAACCTCTACTGCCACTGCATTTATCCATAAGTAAATTAAACAATCCAGAGGCTATCATGTATCCTTGTCCTATTCCATGCACTGGTCTAATTAAAGCCCTATAACCTGGTCCACTGTTTATCTTACTAAAAACTATTGTAAAATTATACATTTTCAGGTCAGTTTTAGAAATCACATTACAGTGTTAAAATTCAATAAGCAATTAATACATTGCTGTCTTTGCTATCATTGTAGACTATACTACAGACGGGGAGAGTGAACTGAGAAGTAGTGATTGATTCAGAGTATTCAAGTGAAATTCCATAATTGGGTATATTGAACCTTGAAGATGGATCTCTCCAGTCCTAATCCAACATTCTAATCCCAGCTTCTCCATGTCAGGAAACATGGAGAACCCCATTTCTCCCCTGTCAGGAAGCATTTTGGAATTCATTGGTATTACTTACACATGTGTGGTCAGTGTTGTTACATTAGCACAATTTGTAAACGTTATTTTTCTTGCATTCCTAAATAGGCTTTAACATCAGTAGTGAACTATAGGGAACCAAAGTCTATTTGCAAAGCTCCTGAGCTGGTAAGTATCAAATGCGAGATTTATGTGCTCAACTGTAAGTGTAGAATGCCAGATAATATTTTGAATGGTTTTTGCAGACAAATAACAAAAACTTACAGAATGATGGCCAGAGATGTTATGGGTGTATCTCAGTTTGTCCAGATAACAGTTGTATTGCAGGAATTTTACTGCAATACCAGATGGCTTCAGGGTACAATCAAGGTTCTGGTTGTCACTTTAAAGCCCCACAAAGTTCAGGACCCAGATATCTTCACAATTACCTGCTTCCAACAGTAACTGCCCATTCAACAAGGTCTGAAGTGGAGAATCTATTTAGGTCCCCATTCTAAAAAAAGTATTTCCATAAGGGACCACAAACACAGGTCTTTTCCATTGTCCTGTTTCTGTGCAAAAGCATGCTCTTGAGATCAGGTCAACACCAGTCCTGTGGGATTTAGTAAAGCCATTAAAACTTGGCTTTTCTAGGAAGCACTATGGTCTGATTATGATTCTTTAAGAGTCTGTTTGCAAGTGAAGTGGCATGTAAAACTGAAGAACAAATATATAAAGGTTATTTTCTTTAACTTAGATAATGTCTTCATTACATGTGTTTGCTTAACTGAAGTTGCTTATCCATTAGTTGTCATTATGCTTTATTGCTATTTGCTTTAATGACTATTCTTTTTCTTGCAACTTGAGTTGGCCAAATATTGTGACAATTTGCTAAAAAAATCAGCAAAAGGCATGACAGAAAATGAAGTAGAAGACAAACTTACAAGCTTCATTACAGTTTTCAAGTACATTGATGATAAAGATGTTTTTCAAAAGGTAAATAATCATATAGATGATTAATTTGCTTTTATTTTCCCCTTGGAGAATACTTTTGAAATGCAAGCAAATCTGAACTTGTTTTTTTTTTCTAACTGTAGTTCTATGCCAGAATGTTGGCAAAACGGCTTATACATGGTTTATCAATGTCCATGGATTCTGAAGAAGCTATGATTAACAAATTAAAGGTAAGTACTAGTTTATCAGTACAATAAGCCCAGCTCTTCTCAGTACTTATTCATATTGTAAACAGTTGCTAATCTGATTGTAAGTCAACTTTTAAACATATGGTGAGGTGTTTTTGGTTTTTAAAAAAAATATTTGGCTTCTCATCCAAGATACTTCTTCAATTCAGAACTGAAGAAGCTTCTTGGATGAGAAGCAAATCACTTTCAAAGAAAAAACCAAGAAAGTCCAGTTACCTTTTGAAAAGCACATTTGGGACAACCATGAACTGGATGATTGAGAATTTCCATAGACTTTATTGCATATGGTTTACAGATCTCATCACAGTCTCCTGTAAATTGGTTCTACTTATTTCAGAATATCTGAAAGCTTGAGAGGGAATCTAAAACTGGGGGTTGTAGCTTTTATTTTTACTTTGTAATATGCTACCTAATGACAGTTCATTTATTTACACTACTTTTAGGACAATAAAAAGTTTGAAACTACTCCAGACATGAGGACCAAAAAGCATGCTGCTCAATTACTCTGGGGATACAATAAACACTATCCTACTAGTATCCTTGTGACAATAGTTGGTATTTACTTGGCATTAATGAATACTGCTTAAATCAGGGGGTGTCAAACTCACGGCATCACATTGTCATCACATGATGTATTGTGACTTTTTCCCCTTCCCTAAACGGGGTGGGCGTGGCCAGCACATGACTCATCCGTCTGTGAATTTGACACACCTGGCTTAAATAGTAGCTTTTCACTTTTAAATTATTCAGTGTCAATATTATATAGAGCAGTGTTTCTTAAACCTTTTTCTCTCAGGATCTCTTCTTACTTTGAAAAATGATGGAGAACCCCAAAAGAGCTTTCTGTTTGTATGGTAATATACTGTATATATTTACCATATTAACAATTAACTTTGATGCATTCATAGAATATATATTTATTGTATCACTTTTGACACCACCTTTTTTTTTCTAAGGTCCTCATTCTTCTTAAGACAAATAGTTTCTCAGAAATATGTGTCTTTTAACATACTTAGCTTTTGGGTAAATATATCTAGCAAATATATTATGTTGTTCCTTTAAAATGTTATAGGCTATTCATTCACTAAATGCTTACAGCCTTTATCAGTGTCAAGCTACAAATCTGGTATGTGTGTGTTTTTCCCCCCCAGCAAGCCTGTGGTTATGAGTTCACCAGCAAACTCCATCGAATGTACACAGACATGAGTGTTAGTACAGATCTTAACAACAAATTCAACAGCTTCATAAAAAATCAAGACATCATCGTAGATTTGGGAATTAGTTTTCAGATATATGTTCTTCAGGTACTGATAAAGAAATGTGTCCATTTGTGTTTTGATTTGTGTGTCCACACTTAGTGTGTAATGTTGATTGTAACAAAAACAAGTACAAGAGGTGTGGGGTCTGCACTTCAGATATTATAGTGAGTGTAGAGAATAGTCTTGAAGGACAGAGGGAAGATCCACTGCAAGGGCAATGATCAATAAAGAAGACTTGAGCCCAGGTTAAGAAAATGGTTTATGAAAATGCCTCAGACAACCTCCCTGTCAGAGTGTGCACAGTGTGACTATGTGAGACAGCCTAAGAGCAAATACAGTAAACAGAGGTTTATATTTAAATAGTGGTTTATCTACAAAGAATATATACATACATATTCTTTAGTCTTCAAACAGCAACCAGCAATTTACAGCACAGAAGCACACATGGAGAAAGATATGCCCCAACCTGGTATCTTCTTATTACAGGCTCTTAAAGTGATATCAGCCCAATAATCTTGCTGACTCGTTTCCAGCATTACATCATTGTATTACATCATTACTTCAGTGTAGCAGCTGGTCAGCTCTTAAAGTATTTCCCTGACACTTAATTCTCATGAAGATAGAAAAGGGAGGAGGGGAAGCATATCCATAGAAGTAGTCCCTGATTTATGACCCATTTGTTTAGGTAGCGTTCAAAGTTGTGATCGCACTGAAAAAGTTACTTATGACTGGTCTTCACGATTGCAACCATCACAGCTTACCTATATTCATGTGATCAAAATTCAGAGGGTTGGCAACTGTCATGATTTTACAATGGTTGCAGTCTCCCAAGATCATGTGATCACCATTTGCAACCTTCCCAGCCGTTTCCAACAAGCAAAGTCAATGGGACAAACCAGATTTGCTTAATGACCATGGGGATTCACTTAACAATCGTGACAAAAAGTCATAAATCAGGTGCAATTGTGATGAATTATATGATGACTCAATTAATGGCCACATTGCTTAGTGATGGAAGTTCTGGTCCCAATTGTAGTCGTAGGTTGAGAGCTCCCTATGCTTGCAAGATTCTGCGACTATACTGTTCTAAAAAAAGTAGTTTTTGGTCTGCTTGGTTTTTGTTTCTTAGTGTGGTCTGTCTATTAGGACTGCTTGCTTTCAGAACATTTTCTTCTGTTATAGCCAGCCTCCAACTATTTATGAACACTGAGCATTCTTCCCCCCATCTGTCTTCAGTTTATGTTTTTCTAAGGCATTTTGTCAACATTTACAAACATTGATTGATAGCTCCTTTTTGTGTGGTCCCTATTTTGATTGCATTACATTTTGATACCTGAGTTTACAGATAATATATGATGAAGAGCAAACATTCTCTGAATGTAAATCCTGAATATTTTGTAATTTCTTGTATACAAATTTGCTTTCTATAGGAGCTTTTTGTATTTGATACAACTTCATCAGTAACACAGACCATTATTCACAAAAATGTTAATGCAGAAGCATCTATATGGATGAGTTGGAGTCAATTTTGCAAGAAAATATGCGAAGCTGCAAAAAGAATATCAGGCAGGAGCAGCTGCCTAAAATCTCTTGTGACATATTTGTGACATGCTTGGAAGCACCATCTATGGTGCTGATTTTCATATTGTCCATGACTGTTTTTGTCAAGATGAGAAACTCAGTTAAATGCTTTATATTTGTGACTGGTTAAGACCCTGCAGAGAAAAGTAAAGTAGTAAAAACAAAGAAGTTAGTAGGGAAGTAGACATAACTTTCAGCCTGCAGACATAGTATGATTGTTCCCTTAATGCTTGACTTTGGCAGGAATACGAACTGTAGAGTCTGGACCTTGTCTGCTATTTTATTATAGCAATAGCACTTAGTCTTATATACTGTTTCACAGTGCTTTTATAGCCCTCTCTAAGCAGTTTACAGTGTCAGCATATTGCCCCCAACAATCTGGGTCCTCATTTTACCCACCTCAGAAGGATGGAAGGCTGAGTCAACCTTGAGCCTGGTGCGATTCGATCTGCCAAATTGTAGGCAGACAGCAGTCAGCAGAAGTAGCCTGCAGTACTGCATTCTAACCACTGTGCCACCACAGCTCTAAACTAAAGTCAACGTTTTCTTTTAAAGCCAATTTGTTAAGTGCCTTTTTGTAGCATTTTGCTTTGTTTCCAGGATCACTGACATGGACATGTTCATGAATCAGGAACCAGGGTTGAGACAAATGAGACTTTCCTTTATTTAGTTTCCATGGATTTCTATGGTTTATACTTTCAAATAAGGTTATTCATAGCTCTGGTCCTTTGATGGTACTTGGTTTGGGGGTTGGGTTTTTTTTGACCATGTCTGCTTTATGTTTTTTTAAGAATGATAATTCCTTTTGGAGAAAGAGTGGGGTAAAAAAATGTTAACTTGGTTATTTTTCAGGCTGGAGCATGGCCTTTGACCCCGGCGCCTTCATCTACCTTTGCAATTCCTCAGGAACTGGAAAAAAGTGTACAGATGGTATGTTAGTAGATTTATTGCAGATTTAACAATGACTAAACCGAAATGAAGGTTGAACTGTGAGTCAGCCTGAGAATAAACACTCTTGCAGTTCTGACTGTCATGAAGATTTAAATGTGAGTTAGCTTTTGGCTTGATCACAGTAACCTTCTCCAGTTTGAACTTCCTCTTTATGTGTAGACTATCATTCAGGAGGGTATCTGCATTAGGGAAGATTCTTCACAAAGTACTTCCTAATGTCAGTATGTCTTTTTTAAGATGTACTTGATGCAGGCATATGATTCTTCTAATACTACAGTCCAAATCAATATCATTACCTATTCAGATGATCCAAGATGGTGCTGACGATGGTAGCCTCCGTGAAATGCTCTCTAATGGTTTCTTTATTATCTGCAATTCACTACTGATTTCATACTCACAAGACCATCTGCTAAGAATTGGACAATGTTTCTTTAAGGAGCAGCTTTCTGATTCTTCACCCCCCCCCCTCCCAGTCTTTGCAAACTCGGAGGAGATTTTAACTAATTTCCCGGTGCTATGGATTACAACAAACAAAGAAGCGGCAGCACCAAAAAAGGAGATGAGGTAAAAGAGCAGGAATTTTAAATAGACTAAGGAATGGGGGTGGAAAAAAATCAGCTCTCTTCAATCTTTCTGACTAATTTATGCTCACTTGCTAACAAGATGGATGAAATTCTCCTTTTAACTAGATGCAATTTTGATTTCTACAATTTAGCAGTTCTTTGTTTTACTGAAACCTGGCTTAATCCACAAATTCATGGGGACAACACCATTTACATCCCAGGATTTCAGATATTTAGATCAGACAGAATTGAAGAGGCATCAGGTAAAACAAAAGGTGGAGGATTATGTTTATATATCAACAACAGCTGGTCTCAGGATATAACTACAATATATAAATTCTGTGATGAAAATTTAGAGTCTTTACATATCAACTGCAAGCCATTTTATTCTCCATGAGAGTTCTCCTCATTTCTCCTTATTAGCTGTGTATGTTCCTCCACAAGCCTGTGTAAACAAGGCATTAAGAACTCTTGCTGATCAAATTATGGAGGCTGAAGCCAAGCACTCAGATTCCCTTCCCATCATTTTAGGGGATTTCAATCAAGCAAATTTAAGGAAAGAGCTCCCAAAATATTTCCAGCATGTCAATTGTCCCACCAGAGGCAAAAATACTTTAGACCACTGCTACACAACAGTAAAAGATGCTTATAGGTCTTTACCACGAGCAGCTGTCTGCCTGGATTGCACTGATTGGAATGTTTTTGAAGATACCTCTGCAGACCTAGATGAGCTCACAGATACTGTAACATTATATGTCAGCTTCTGTGAAGACTTATGTGTACCAACAAGGAACCTGCAAATATATAGTAATAAACCTTGATTCACAGCTAAACTTAAGCAGCTATGTCGTTCCAAAGAGGAAGCCTACAGAAAAGGTGATAGAATGCTGTACAATCAGGCCAGAAACATATTAACAAGAGAGATCAGAGCAGTAAAAAGAAGCTACTCTGAAAAGTTAAGGAATCAGTTCTCAACAAATGAACCAGCAAACATGTGGAAAACTCTTAAAAACCTCACTGGCTACAGCAAACCTCCTTCCCCAGGCAGAAGGGAATCAACCACTAGCAGGTGACCTGAATGTGTTTTACTGCAGGTTTGAAAGGAAACTACAGCCACCTATCTCCACAACCCCCATCTCAAACACACCAACAACAGCCAAGCCTCCTACAACTGGCCCCAACCCATTGGGTTCATAACCTCTGGTGATCACAGAAAAAGGAGTGCAAGATCTATTTCACAGACAAAAGTCAGGAAAAGCACCTGGGCCAGACAAGATAACTCCTTCTTGCTTAAAAGTCTGTGCTGACCAATTGGCCCCCAACTTCACCAAAATCTTCAACAGATCACTAGAGATATGCTATGTTCCTTCCTGCTTCAAATGCTCTACTATCATCCCAGTGCCAAAGAAGCCCTCCATCAAGGAACTAAATGACTACAGACCAGTTGCTCTAACATCTGTACTTATGAAAACCTTTGAAAGGCTAGTGCTGTCCCACCTGAAAACCATCACAAATCCGCTGTTAGATCCCATGCAGTTTGCATACCGAGCAAATAGATTGACAGATGATGCTGTTAATATGGCTCTGCATTACATCCTACAACACCTTGAATCTTGAAATACCTACGTAAGGGTCCTCTTTGTAGACTTTAGTTCAGTATTCAATACCATCATTCCAGACATTCTTCTAACTAAACTAAACCAGCTAACAGTACCTGAACACACTTGTAAGTGGATCATAAGCTTCCTAACAGACAGGAAGCAGCAGGTGAAGCTAGGCAGAATCACATCTGATACCTGTACAATTAGCACAGCCCACCCACCCCCCAAGGCCGTGTGCTTTCTCCACTTCTCCCTCTATACCAATGACTGCATCTCAAATGATCCATCTGTTAAAATACTGAAGTTTGCTGATGACACAACAGTGATTGGTCTCAATCGAGACAACGACAAATCCACATACACACAGGAGGTTGTACAACTTGCCTCGTGGTGTAACCGGAATAATCTGGAACTGAATACACTCAAAACCGTAGAAATGGTGGTAGACTTTAGGAGAAACCCTCCCATACTACCACCTCTTACAATACTAGACAACACAGTATCAACAGTAGAGACCTTCAAATTTCTAGGTTCTACTATATCATATGACCTAAAATGGACACCTAACATCAAAAACGTCATCAAAAAAGCACAACAAAGAACGTTCTTTCTCCGCCAACTCAGAAAGCTCAAACTGCCCAAGCAGCTGCTGATACAGTTCTACAGAGGAATTATTGAGTCTATCATCTGCACCTCTATAACTGTTCTGACCCAGTTGAAGTCCCCGAGCAAAAACAAAGATAAACTCCAAAACTGAAACGTTCACAGTTTTATTCCACAAATACCTTTGTCATTACCAGATGGCTTGCAGCCAAGTAATCCAATTAGAAAAACTTTCAAATAAATCAAAGTCTGTTGTCATCACACTTAACCCTTCGAAGGCTTTTTGCCTTCTGCAAAGGCAAAAACTGTTTGCAACCAGGCTTATATTCCCTAGAGGGAAGGGCCATTACATTGCCTCCTTACTCCTGAGTCGTCTATGCAGCTTCAGCTGTTCCCTCCTACGAAGCATCCTGCGCTCACGTGCACTGAGCACAGGTTCTTCTGAAACCTCCTCGTCACTGCTGCCAGCCCCCACCATCTCTGAAGGCAGCAGTCCACACCCTGATGGTCCCGGCCCCTCCTCCGAATCCTCGGTCTCTTCCACTGTCTGCACCTGCTGCTGGCTAACCACAACAATAAGTGTCTGGTTTGGTTCTGCAACCCAACAGGACAGACACAAACTTCAGAGGATAATTAGGACTGCAGAAAAAACAATTACTACCAACCTGCCTTCAATCGAGGACCTGTAATACTGCTCAAGTCAAAAAGAGGGCTGTGAAAATATTTACAGACCCCTCACATCCCTGACATAAATTGTTTCAACTCCTTCCCTCAAAATGACGCTATAGAGCACTGCACACCAAAACAACTAGACACAAGAACAGTTTTTCCCTGAAAGCCATCACTCTGCTAAACAAATAATTCCCTCAACACTGTTCAACTTTTTACAAAGTCTGCACTACTGTTACTGTTAATCTTCTCATCACTCCTTATCACCCATCCCCTCCCACTTGTGACTATGACTGTAACTTTGTCGCTTGTATCCTTACGATTTATATTGACTGTTTCCTAGTATGATTTGATTGCTTATTGTACCCTATGACTATCATTAAGTGTTGTATGTTATGATTCTTGATTCTTAACAAATGTATCTTTTCTTTTATGTATACTGAGAGTATTTGCACCAAGACAAATTCCTTGTGTGTCCAATCACACTTGGCCAATAAAGAATTCTATTCTATTCTATTCTATTCTATTCTATTCTATTCTATTCTATTC